AGACCCAATCCGACGAATAACCACGGTACAGTGTGAATTAAGTGAATGTACTCATGACATATTTCACATCTTTGCGAAAGTTTCCCGCCCTCTTGTTCCCTCATTACCAGTGTTGGCACATGTGCTTGTTTCTTCAAAGCACGAAACCCGTTATCTTATGTTTCTGTGATCTATGTTTTTGTTCAAATCCCATTTAATTATATGCGTCAGTCTTTTGTGAGAGGTTGAGTCAATTTCTTGAATACGGTATCATACAAGCGCGCGGTCAGCACAGATTGATATACAAATGAATTCCGATCTTGTTAACCGTATTCCGTCAAGAGGATCACGTATTCAGTCTAGGATTTCACTAAGGTAAACCAGGCAGTAATCGAAATAGACCTGGATCATGAAAATAAACCAAAACTGTAAACGAAACCATATATCACTGGTTATCGCCTAACGCGATTTCCCAACAATGAGAAATAGGAAGAGGTGCACCGAATTAACTGATGTTTTACTGAAAGACCAGGGATATTAAATAATAAAGCCAAATGATTGCTATAGATCAAATAGGCTTTAACTAATGGTTGGTACTTCAAAAGAAGCAACTTGGTAATCTATAAAGATGTGAAAAATCGATCCAGAGGAATCGTTCTTGATTGGAATGGCGTGAAGCCAACAAATGAATCGGTAGGCACAAGTGAACATGTAGAAAAATCTGATCAGAATGAGGAGAGACAATTAAAAAAACATGAATGACCATCAGGTAACGAAAACTTGACAAGTGTTGTAACAGTATGAATTGTGAACTGCTGCGTTAGCTCAGCTGTAGAGAAGATTCTCATAGTAGTAGCTCAAATATCTCAACCTTGGAATGTGAGTACTCCGTTGGATGACGCCTATATTGTATATTGATCTCTTGTTCAACGGTTTTCTGCATAACCTGGATGCGGTTGACGATTGGTAAAAGATCTTCTGGTGTCTCACCAAGGATGACAATGTTATCAGGTTACTCGAGGTTCGCGAATCACCTACTGGATTGGTCGTCCCGTAGAATCATAAAAACGATCGAGTGAACGTTGCTTAACCGAATGAGACGCCAATAAGCAAACCAGTTTGGTATTGCTGAGAACATCCATACTGTCAGCGATTTCCTCCCGACACTGTTGGTGATCTTTCTTCACGAAATAAGTGACCACAACAAGAGGTTCACGAAATTCCGTGCAGTTCCCTAAGTGTCCTTCTTTTGACTTTATAGATCCAATCCGTAGTTCCACGTAATATCCTCCACAGTTGTGCTATTGTTGCTTGCTTTATGGTAGTTCTCGGTCCTTCACACTGACCGTCACGTGCACTGTCATCCTGAGGGTATATGGCTTGTTTTGCTTTGGTAGGACGGGGTGGGGTGTTTANGTTTATTTTTCCTTTCCTCTGCCGTTACCGCTTTCGTGTCACATCAAACTCTTTGACCGATGATGTCCAAAAAGGCTTCTATTTCTATGCGTAACATTTGCGCTTGCGTAAACAACAAAACTATAAACTGTATCCTTAAAGTGGTCTTGGTCCATCGCATGTAAATGCATTCAACTTGTGGGGCATTAACGATCTCCGGAGGAGTGAAACCCACACCCAATGCCTGGCACCTTTGAACCATCGAATGGGCTAATCAAAGCGTGCTTCTCTAAATGTGATTGAGCCATTCGCACAAGATGATGACCGTCGACCGTGTAGCTCAGGCGTAAGTGTTTGAAGTCCCGTCCCAAATGTTCTCGGTTCGAGTCCGGACAGGGATACAAAAAAGTACACACTGGTTACGAGTCCCAAATCAGACAAAACAGCTGTCCAATGCTCTTTGCATCCATCAGTTATTATTATCCAGCTGCATTCTCTTTGAAGCACTGTCAATTGTTGAGATCGTACTAATTCATCCTAGTATATCCTCAGTAAACCGGTATACAAACAGCCCCTTAAGCCGGTATAACCCTAAAGACGGATTAATACCCTGGGTTATTCGATTGAATTATGAAATAGTTTTCAGTTATCCAATTTATCCCAGCGACCATGCTCGCTCTAGGTCCCGTTAAGTATGCACCGGATAAATATTCTCAGATTCAGTTATCTGTGGAAACTGTTTATGTGACAAGTCCTACGGGTCAGATAAATGAAATCAACCAAATCCGCATGAGCTATTCGGAAACTTCAGTTTGAAGCAACCGAAACGATTGTGCTTGAAACACATCCGATTCCGTCTTACTTTATCCATGATCCATTCATATAAACTTTCCTGGAAGCAATAGAGACAGACAGCAGCAGTGTTAGTTGTCTTTTACCGCTAAACACTCGGAAACAATCAACCTGGCTATTTGTTATGCATTCAAACCATACTGTAAGTAAATCAGTCCAAAGAGTCGAGGAGATACACACAAGGGTTGAGATAAAACCCCATCAAGACTCAGTGTTTGGCACTGAGTCCCAAGCCAAAGTAACCGTATAATATGTCAACTATTCCCAACTTTAAAAGTTGAATCTTCACCAGGTTGGTAAAGTGGCAATAAGGTTTCGTAACAAATAAGTGTTCCGTGTTAGGAGATAAGACGTTAAAGATAAAATTGTTGCCGCCGTCGTTTGAAAATTAAAGCGCACGTAAGTGAACATTGACAGAAGTTGGAACTTTAGTTTCATTCACGGAAATTTGGGGCCGGAAAACTTAAGTGTTGATTTTATTGAGGTAGCGACTGAATTGTGAATAAAAATGCAGGAATCAGCTATTGATTTAAATCAAGAGAAAGTGCATTTGGGAAATTAGAGGTAGGTCATATCCGGCAACGGAGTTGAATAATCACTAAATTTAAGAACAAGGTCATGGCTTCACTATTAGATCGGAGGGGTTTCGCGACGGTGCAAGCAAACAGGCCATTTTTGAGACAAAATGGAACACCAATACGCATAATGCTATTAAATACAAGAGGATTGTGCATGAAACATTCGTCAT